CTACTTCCCCCATTGCTTGACATTTGAAACTTCTCCCCCCCCCTCCTCCTCCCTTGCCTCCTCAACCTCCTCCTTCCCCTCCTCCTCCTCCTCCTCCTCCTCCTCCTCCTTCTCCTCCTCCTCCTCCATCGCCGGTGACGTTATCTTCCCTGTCATTCACAATATCCCTCGCATTCAGGTCTAGCCCTATATCCCTCCTCCTCGTCCTCCTCCTCCATCGCTGGTGACGTTATCCACCCCGTCATTCACAATATCCCTCGCATTCAGGTCTAGCCCTATAGCCCTGCTCGACACAGTTCATCATACACGTACACACGTTCGTGCTCACACACGTATAGCTCTGGCGGTCACAGTTCCTCATACACGTATACATGCGCCCTGATACGCATGATACCGGTAGGGGCATATGGAAAATTCTTGTGCTGGTATTCAACGGCTATCCCATAGGGGCATACTGGAGATTTGGCACTGGTATCGGTAGGGGCATATTGAACATATTTCAGGCCCAAATGACGGCAGATTTTTTTTGGAAATTTGAATTGTTGTCAGAGGGGCAAATCAGGGCAAGTCGGCCGTCAGAGGGACAAACCGCAAATAAACGGAAATTTCAGAGGCATTTTGAAAAAATCCCAAAATATAAAATCATGTCCATCTGCTAACTTCCTGAAATATTGTGGGCCCCTGGATCAGAAGGGCATGGATCAGAGTAACCAACCTTGAGAAAACTCAATGGCCACTGTGGGGAACAGATCCCTGAAAAGCTGAGGGTTTCCAGCTTCAGCAGCTGTACCCGGTCAATTTGGTTGATTGGGGAACTGTCTGCCAGAGGGGTACACAGTGGCCGACGGGGGGGGGAGATTCACACTAGTGATATGGGGAACTGGAAGGACAATCTCCTACTTTTCCCTATTTTCCTTCGAGGACCTACCATGGGTTTTTCTTATTTTTTGTTGGCTCATGGATACCCGTGAATACAGAGGCGAGGCTCTGCCTGGCGTGGAAGGCCGGAGGTCAATACCCTCTGAATCTGAACTTGCTGCACACTTTCATTCATGTATTTTGCCTTGGGCACTGGGCCTATAATAAACAAGGACAACTACCCTACTCTCTGACCACTGCAGATTAGGGCAGGGGGCATCATGCATCCCCTTATTGGGAGAGGTAGTTATGCTTGCAGGGGTCCCTTGTATAGGCTTAGGAGTAGTGGTAGGTAGATAGTGAACGGTGAAATTGTGAGAGAGGAACATAGCTTAAGGAAAGAAAAAGAAAAAAAAAACATGGCGGTGTACTTTTACATGTTCTAGCGGAAGATTCACTCTCGTTTTGCACATGTCGAGAGTATAGTGGAGCGAGCCCCATCGTCTGAGAAGACGGATGTGCCGCTAAAACTGGGTCGGCCCTCAGGTCACTGTCCGGACTCCGTTTGTCACTGTACCGCATTCTGCGCCTGCAGGATGCTCATGGGGTAACTTAGGGTCTGATCCCACCACTACACTACATTCCAGCTCCACTGTAGTTTTGAGATCCCACACATTTCCAAGGTTGCCGAAATATTTTGCCCGCATTATTTGTGTATGTGCCGTGGCAGCACGTCAGCGAAGGGCGCAAACGGAGACACTACAACTTTCCTGTGGACAGCGAGGGCATCACCGCAACAAAAAAGAGGGAACAATTTTTTATTTTTATTTTTTCCCTGTCCGTTTGTAGAGGTTGGACTGTCCGAGGTAGGTCAGCGAGGGCCAACCTGCACCATGAAACCATCCGCCCTGAACTGACGCCCATAAAGAGTCACCGAAGGTCCAGGAAGAGCACCAAAGAACGCTGTGGGATCCAATTTCTCTTTTTTGCCCCGCCAGGGTCGCTGACATCTTCGTAGTTCGCAACGCATCAGGGGTGCGTTTTCCCCCCCTGAGACATTTCCCCCCCGAGACATTTTCGTCGTCTTTCGTTGATTCGGGCTCGTTTGGTCGTTGAAAGGTTCGAAAAATGTAGGCAGGTGCAGGCACGACACTTCGGGGGGAGGTGGCAGTTTCTTTGAAAAATGCGGGACCGGTAGCTGCCCGTGGGACCGTGTGCTGGGTTTTGGTCGAAACGGTGGCGAAGCAGCGGCAGGGTGGATCTTTGGGGGGGGGTGGCAGTTTCTTTGAAAAATGCGGGACCGGTAGCTGCCCGTGGGACCGTGTGCTGGGTTTTGGTCGAAACGGTGGCGAAGCAGCGGCAGGGTTGATCTTTGGGGGGTGGTGGCAGTTTCTTTGAAAAATGCGGGACCGGTAGTTGCCCGTGGGACCACGCGCTGGGTTTTGGTCGAAACGATGGCAAAGCAATGGCAGGGTGGAAAAGTGGAAAAGTCTGAATCGGAAAGTGCGGCTGTGAGTCGGCTGTGAACTCGTGTTGCATGAGCGCGGGTAGTGGTGTGAGCGCTGTTTGCCTCATCGTGGTGCAGTGCGTCTGTTCAGCAAGCTTCAGCCATGGTGCTCTCCAACGATATCGATCTGCTGCATCTGCCCGTCGGAAAAGAAGAAGCACAAGTTGAAGAGGCTTGTGCAAAGCCCTAACAGTTTCTTCATGGATGTCAAATGCCAGGGCTACTTTAACATCACCACCGTCTTCAGTCACTCTCAGACTGTTGTGCTCTGCGGGAGCTGCTCTGCGGTCCTTTGCCAGCCGACTGGAGGAAGGGCTTGATTGACAGAGGGATGCTCATTCCGCAGAAAGGGGGACTAGAGTAGGACGAGACGTTTGCGGAGGGTTCAAGATGGGGCCACTGCGGGAAGTTGATAAATGGGAGGAGGGGGGGGGGGGGTAGGTGTTATGCGTCGGAGGGCGGCTCACCGAGTTCTTGGTGGATAATCCTCGAGGGGGCGAACGGGGGACTAGTCCAACGACGTCTTATGGTGTCTTGAGTGCTTTCGCGGCCTGAGTAATCCATTGACGTCTACGTGTTTTGGAAAATACGGATCCAATTCGAATTGAATCGGAAGATACTCGTATTGCCCCTCGATTGAAGTTGGCCAGTTGTATATTGCGTGCGTGCTTCATACGGAAGTTGTGTTGTGTTCCTGTCGCTAGCCTCTTTCTCTCTCTGTCTCTGTGCGAAGGTTTCTTCACCTTGGTTCTGTTCTTTCGGTGGGATGTGTGTGCGACTCGAGTCGTGCCGATTCAATTGAGCCGTGGGCCAGGGAACATGTGCTCAAAGAAAGCTGTAATCGTTTGGCCCAAATGAAATTTTGAGGAGTATCAGGCCCGTTTGGGAATGACGAAACTCAGTCACAGTCCATGCAGATGTGAAGATGCTAGAGTGTACCGTTTGCGTCTGGACGTGCAGGCGTTAGCTTCGTCCTTCTGACGCATACGGATGACCTTTTACTCTTTACATCAGTACTTTCTGCTTGTCCCTCGAAAAACGTTTTCAGAACTCCCCTACGGATGACCTTTTACTCTTTACATCAGTACCTTCTGCTTGTCCCTCGAAAAACGTTTTCAGAACTCCCCTGCCAGTGTCGTTGTGCTTTGCGAGCTTCACTGCTACCGGTCGGTGGTGTCTTTTCATGAACTCGGACTTGCCCTTGTATTACCGGGAAAAAAAAAAAAAAAAAAAAAAAAAAAAAAAAAGGATCCGTACTCCTCGGCTTCCCGTACCCTTCAGGGAAAATCCCACGTGAGCCTCGAAGTACGGGTTCTAGGTGATCAGGAAGAGCGGGGTCTATTTTTCTTTTCTTTCCTTTTTCTTGAAAAGAGAACTGCCCCTGATGACTTTTCACATGGACGGTTAGCCACCGCACTGAGAAATCCAAGAAACATTTAGGAAGTAGTGTGGGTGGGCATTTTGATTTTTGCGCGCGCGGCTGTTTTTCAAAAAACAATTTGCACGCCGCGTAAACCCGTTCCCCTGCTTTGCATCCCCGCGCCATCTTCCCTTCTTGCCGCGCGCTCCCTTCTTGCATGCCTCTTCGTCTTCCCTCAACGAAGTCTGATCCTCTCCTTACCCATCATCGCAGGCGATTGGCTGATGTTGGGATGGTCGGATCAATGTGGTGAAAGTGGGAAGCGCGCACCATTAGAACGACCAACCCAATCACGCAGAACGCTCGACTCGCCTACTTTGATCTCTGGAACCTTGGCCCTACTTTTGTCTTGCTCATCTACAACCCGTGCTGCCCGCACCACGTGCTGGCACCCCGCCGCCTTCCGCGCTATGAATTCTCGCAGTTCCTTCCGCTCGCTCTTTTTTCTCTCGGCTGCAATGCTGCTCGAGCTATGCGCAAGGTCCACAACGTCGAACAGGTTTGATGTGCCCAAGGACGGGCGGAGTGACGACGTGGGGTGGGCTTGGCAATAGATTTGGGGTAAGACACTCAGAGTGACGAAGCGGTGGTGGAGATCAAACGCTGCCAGCGGCAGGGCCTTGTGGCTATGGTTCGTGTAAGTTCGGATGGATTGGGGGTTGTGCCTGAGGGAGGCCAGCCGAGTGTGAAATTTTGAATAGCGAGGGACTCATTTTTATCTCCATTGCTGCTTTGTCCAAGTGTGATGTGTGCAAGGTCCCGCCACACGGGTATTCTATTGTATGCACGCTGTGGTACGAGTGTCTATGGATGTTGAATGTCTCACTGACCAAGATAGTTGAGAGTAGGTGTGTGGGCACTTACAGGCGCGTTTCTGGGGAGTGTTGGGTGTCGACCGTCTGCATGGATGCATGAGTGTGTTGGATCTCCCTCCCTTCCCTGACCCTTTTCCGATCTTAACGCCTCGTATATGTGCGGGACTGGCGCCAACATCTTCCCTTTCTCTCCCCCTTCGTGCGCGTAGGAAATCCAGGCAAAACAGGGCTGGCGTCGCCCCACAAGTTACACTCGACAACCGGGGAGATCAGTCATTCGCATCTCCGCGACGCGGCTGATATCTCCACGAATCGACCAAACCCAGGATCCCCTACCCAGCATTCAGGCTGA